CAAACACAACTCCGCTGGCGCCTTCTACGAAGGCTGGCTTTCGTAATCTTACACCCCAGGAAAATATCATAGAACAGATTTCTGTTTTGAGGGACACTTGACATGGAACACGGTAACCGGTGAATTCCTGGGGAAACACACGGCCACTTTCTGGCTGGTCATTGTCTGAGACAAAAGGATGGCAACTAACATGGAACGTCAAAGATAGGTCTATGTTAGAGGGTGGAAAATTAACATGGCAAAATCCTGGGGCATAGACCATGCAATACCGGCATCAATGAATGATTCATTCTGAAGGGTTCATTAAAGTACTGACTGTACTGTACCTTTTTTTTCAACACTCAACTTGCTGCTGTGCATTGTGCATAGCTGGATCCAAGAGACAGCAAACATTTTGTTTGGCACAGCGCATTGATTGTGCAATTAACATGGACCACCGTAGGGGTCCAATTTGCAGCTAACATACACCGTTTCCTGTAGCCTTCAAAAAAGCAAGGTGCCCTTAACATAGACCTCTTGCCCCGGGCCACTAACATAACTTTTTTTTGTGTTTTTTTTTTGGGGGGGGGTACGATGTTTTCCCCGAGAGTACATCCCATTGCTCAGTTCCAGCGCCGCGCGTTACTACGGTAGCGAAATGAACCGCGGACAGCACACAAATGCCTACGCACAAAGCATCAGCAGCATCATGGGTGTGGTGGGTTGGTGTGCGGTATAGGCACATCAGCGTCACAAGCGACGAGATTTTGAGCGCCACAAGCGACGAGATTTTCAGCGTCACAAGCGAGAGCCTCACCTTGATCAACCATGATCAACCATCCCTCATCTTTCTTTCGTCCGTCTTCCACATTCGAAGTCAGGCGCCTGAATTGACACCGAATTCTGAAATTAAGCAACATCTGGCTCCGTTCCCAAACCCCGTCGCAATCGCAGCCAATCGCGACCGGTCGCTTTATGTCGCTTTCGGCAACGGCACCTGCATGTTCTTCGGCTGCCAGCTGCTGGAGCTTCTTCTGGTCGGCCAGCTGTGCCAAAAGTCGAGTCACCTGGCCGATCCTGAGGCCGAGGCGGCCGAAGGATGCCAAAGGCCGAAGGATTCGACTGGTGAACTGTTCAAAGCTCAAAAGAATTACAGGGACAGGGAGCAAAATCATCGGAACTATTATCGCTTTCGCGCGCCATCAAAATCCCAGGAAATCCAGCCCAGAAATGCAGGTGAGGCTAAGAAAGCCGGAATCCAAAACCTGTTCGTTTTGAGTTCCAGTGCACTTTCCCAGGTGCGGATATTTCCGGGCTTAGTTGGCAAAAACATCACGACGCAGCACACATAACCTTCCTGGGTAGCAACACTTGCGTATCAATGACAGCGCAAGGGAGTCAAACAACGAGGGCGAAGGCAGTAGAACATGGATGATTGGAAGCCATCACCCCAAACGAGGAATGGTGGGGAGCGAGCCCAACGAGATCCCTAAAAGCTGGACTTGATTGAACATTCACCACACGCACGTTGTCTGATAACCCATTTCAATCAATCAATTAAATTAGGTGTCAAGTAGCACATCACCATGAATAGACTTGAATCAAGCATCCTCATCAGGCAATGAAAACTAAAGTGATCCATTTGAATGGCTTTACCCTCTCCTGCCTGGTGAAAAACATATATATATATATATAAAACATGCACAGGCAGTTGAAAATGAACAGGCATGGCAACACAAAGTCTTTTGATGTCATTTGGGCATTCTCACTGTGAGGAGGATGAGCGGGTCTAAAAATCATGTTCATTATATGTAATACATATTGGCTGCCTGCCAACAGTGGGTGATGAATGATTGTTAGGAAAGGCCTTTCTCTATAGAATTGTGATACATGTTTACTGACTGTTACAAGTAAAAGGGCAAACCCAAAGATGTATAAGTTTATGACATTCTATGAGTAACACAACAATTACATGTTTCCTGTGAAAGGGTTTGGAACCTCCATCCACTCGCGGGGCTCCAGCACCCTGTTGGTAGCCACGGATGGTCACGGTTTTGGGCACATGACACATGCCTTCCATCCTCCCTGAGTCTGTTACTCAGATCAGCTCCGACTGTCGGCTCAATCGTCGTAACGATATGTAACAATGACATCTTCCAGTCTTCCATATCCCAACTCCTTTCGACCAAACCAACATAGCCCAACTCATGCCATGTGGAAAACTCAATTGACCTTTCGTCTTCATTCTGATTCGCTCCGCTCCTCGCTGTCCCTCTCCGAGGCGCTCGTTCGAGCCCTGTGTGATTTGGAGCAGGTCCGCCGCGCGCGTGATCCGTTCAGTCGCGGATTTCCTTTCGAACTCGGGTCCAGCACCGCCGTCGCTGCTGACCGCGCCATTGTAGCGGTCGTCAGGGTCCTCGCCGTCCTGGCCCAGCGAAATGCAACAAAAAAA